TCTAGATGTTATCTTGGCTTTTGTAACTTTTTTTTACTTTGGGCTTAGGACCACCTCGCTGGAGAACTAGGGGCTGACTGCACTGATATAGTTATGACTCTATAGACTGAGAGGCCAGTCTTGCTGCATGCAGAGGTGGTTGACATCTCGCCACTGACTTCTACTCTCTGAGCAATTACGCCAGTGAAGTGTTGATTTCCACCCGCGCGTGGTTTTCGCTGCTCCGCCTTCCTAAGTCCTTTTCTCACCTTTGGTAAGGGAGATTGGTACTGAATGTTGAAACGAGTTGAGTGCCTGGCTATTCCCTCTTCACTGCCCTCCAACGTAGTGTCTGGGGTAGTTTCGAAGCAGGGACTTCCAGATTAAGGTCTTCGACTTTAATTCACTGGGGTCACCTGATAAATCGCGGGGAGGCGGGATCTACTTGCCAAACTGCGTCCTTTTGTTTGTCAAAAGTTGTGGCTGAAAACCACATTAATTCGGGACCAACTCCCTAGAGTTTTTGTTCTGTGTAAACTAAGGGGTTATCAGAAGCAACTCATCACAAGTTCGGAGTTAGCATATCAGGAGTTGGTGCTTTCTCCTGTCCCCCTTGTGTTATGCGACCTCACGGTTGTAGAGTTGACACAGGGTAATCTGCGGCCCTCCAGCCAACTGTTGGATAATGCATACTGTGAGATAGGATAAGTTTAAAAATTTGAAAATTTTACTATTAATTGTATATATACTTATCCTATCTCATGTGATGGATACCCACCCGACCTGCCCCACATCACAGATTACCAGAAGCTCCAACATGAGAATGACAGGCACAGAAGGTGTGAAGCCCACCATTTCCGGTGGCCCTCATCGTGATATTCCTGGAATATTGCTAAAAGCATATTCACTCACATATATATACAGCATTAAATATTTTTTTTATCAATTTCCTATGTTCTAAATTACCCAAATATTTGCGACTTATATTTTGTTACATGATTCAACACATTGATGGCTTAATGTTTTGGTGATTTGGAACTTTGAAGTTGTCTTATATTCCTTTATGTGTTAAGATATTTTTGAATAATTGCCATTATTCTGTACTGGTAGTAAGACAATCAACTATGAAGTATCAAGTAGTAAAAATGCAAAACTCAAACCAATTTTCTCTGATGAATTACTTTGGTTAGATCAGGTGACCTTTCACTTCAACATTCAGGTGTAGGATACATAATGTGAAAGTTCAGATACTTTGTCTTAAAGTAGAAGTGAAATGACTTTATGTGGGAGTAATTGATGTCGAACACCGAACAAATGAATATACCAGGTTTTCTTATACTAATCGACTTTGAAAAAGCTTTTGACTCTGTTGAATTGAAATATATTGAGAATTGTCTTGATTTTCGTTATTTTGGACCCTCTATTACACATTGGATTAAGACTTTTTACAATGATATGAAGTCAAATGTTCCAGTAAATGTTTTTTCCAGTGAATTTTTTAATATTTCGAGAGGATGTAGACAAGACGATCTACTTTCCCCATATCTTTTTATTATCTGCACGGACAGAAATTTTTGCACACATGTTGAGGGAATATAAAAATGTAAACGGTATAAAATTTCCTGAGATCGAATATTTTTTTAACGCAATTTGTAGACGACACAACACTTATTCTTGATAGAATGGAAAAATGCTTTCAAGCAACCTTGGGTATACTTAATAAATTTGCTGAATTTTCTGGCCTTAAAATAAGCATAGAAAAAACTAAAATAATATGGATTGGTTCTATGCAATACTCAAGCATTCAATACTGTAAGACCTTCAAACTAGATTAGTCCCAATGACCCTTTACTTTACTCGGAATTCAGTTTCAACACAACCAGGCTGAAATGGTTGAGAGAAAATATAAAGACAAACTAAAACAAGTTGATAAGACAATGACGACGTGGTTAAGAAGAGACCTTACTCCATTTGGTAGAATTACTGTCCTTAAAAAGCCTTATATTACCTTCCCTTAACCATCTTTTTACCATGGTGCCAAATGTAAGAAGTGTTACCATTCAAAATCTACAGAAAAAATACTTTAAATTTGTTTGGAACGGAAAAACTGACAAGATCGTGATAACTAAATGCTATTATTCAATCGTACAAAGATGGGGGGCTAAATGTACCTTTAATTCTTGAAACAATACAGGTTCAATAACTCTCATGGCTGGGCAAAACATTAGTTAAACTTTCAAATATATCAAATCTTATAAATCTTGCTATTCCAAGAAAAAGTCTTCATCCAACAGAGATGGGAGCAAGCTATTTAAAACACACTATTATCCCAAATATCAGAAATGTTTTTTGGAAAGATGTTTAAGAAGTGTGGGTCAATATGCAATCTTTACAAACAAATGATGACATCGATACTGAAATTTCACAACAATATATATGGGCAAACGACAGTATCACCGTAGATCAAAAATCAATTATTCATAAACATTACTTGAAGGGAAATATTAAATTCATTAATGATCTACTGAACACAGATAGTAATTTTCTTACCTATGAGGAGTGAATTTCCTTACACAGTATTAAGACACATGTTTTAGAATATAGGGGTATCATCAATTCCATTAAATCATACTTACTTTTGAAAAAACTAACTCTGTGTAAAGTAGAGGAGCCATTTATTCCTAATAATATACATATTCTTTACAAAGAACGTAAAGGATGCAAGATTTTCTACTCTGTCTTGTTAAGGAAACATATATTGAAAGAAAGGCTAAACAGCCAGCTTAAATGGGAAAGGGATATCAACGTAGTTATATGAGAACAACTCTGGAAAGTTTTTAACTATATACCTTTCAGAACAACTTGTAATACACAATTCAGATGGCTTCAATATAAAATTGTCCAAAGAATCATTACAACAAACAAATATTTATTAACTATAAACTGACACAATCTGCTTCTTGTACATTTTGTAATGTTACAATCAAATACATTATCCACATATTTTATGAGTGTGTACGTGTGAAAATGTTGAAAAATACTGAAATCCTGGATTGAACAAGATACAGACACAAGATTAATTCTGGATGCAAAACATATAATCTTTGGGTATAAAGAAAAGCGAAATGATGTATTAAATATGATTATCATCGCAACAAAATACTATATATTCAAAGAGATGTTCTAATTCACATCCGTAGTTTGCTGGATTAAAGAATTACCTACACACCCTGTATGAAATTGACAGCCTTTTCGCACTGTAACTATGGTAAATTCTTCACCTTTTGGTCATCTTGCCAAAATTACTTAACATAAATTACAATAACAATGTATTCTTACAGCCTACGGATTATCTACCACTCGTGTTCATACTTTGTATATTTATGTACCACAAATGCAACAATTATGTACCCATCAAAAAGAAATAAAGTGAATATAAAAAAAAGAAAATAGCTATTGATGCAGTTCAAGTTGAACTTCATAGTGGAGGTGTAAGCCATTCTTCTTATGATACTCCCACATGACCATGGGTGTATCAACAAGCGTAGCCAAAAGGAGATTTCTCATTACTAAGGACACAGGGTTAGATTCAACACAGCTGAATTCCTTCTGAAAAGCTGTGATATTGCAGCCAAACTGCTGAAAGTGACATAAACCTCAGTGACTGTAGATGACTATCTTTGATACATTTGTCACTCAGGAAGTATGAAAGCAATGTGTCTTGTTGTCATGGTTTGTGTGATGTTTATGTACTGACAACAGTCACCATCAAGTCTCCAAAATGAACCATCAATGAATCATCAACAAACTGAATCATTCACAACTATCATACTTGAGATGTTGTTGATGCCTCTCAACATCAGAAAACTTTCTGCATTGGTAACCATGGTAACAGGAAGTTATATACTTTATTATTCCCAATGAAATCGTGTATGGCAATACAGTCCACCAGTTGTTGGTGTTTACCTGGATAATATTGTTAGTGTATAAGCCAGCTTATTACCTACCCTGGGTGCAGGACACCTCTTGTGTGGGTTGAGAGGGAAGGATTCATGTGTACTGCAATGTTTCCTGACAACTTACAGTTCTTTGTGTTCCGTATACAATTTATACATGACCATGCCAGGATTGTCAGCATTTGACATAAAGGTACATTTTGACATTTATGCTTGGAATATGTTTAAACATGTTACATATAAGGTTTCACTATATTTTTGTTTAAGCATTTCTGGGTTTCACAACAAGCATTAACATGTATATTTGATGCAATTTTCATCCCAAATACTTATAATAATGTCTTTAACAAGTCATTAAATCTTCCTCAGCACTGGTTCCTTTGAAACATATAAGGGACTATAGCTATAACAGACTGTTCATGTATTTCACTTTTACCATCATCACACATGACATCTGCTGCAGACATGGGGCTGAATATCAGGCTGTCAACTGGTCCATGTAAATTCCTGAATGGAGTTTGTTCAATGATGGAATTTTGCCTGCTTCCTAATGCTTCCAGTACGCATATGTCATTGTTTACAAAGGTCATATTGTCATAATGTCCAGTTTCATAGCCTTTCAGTACATGACTGTTATCGTGCACCTTCTGTTAGTAATAGGAATGAATGGTATGGGAAGAATGGAATATTTTGTCTTTTTAACTTTTTGCATTGTATTTTGACATATTGATCATTTATTGTCAGTTTACAACACTTAAGTGGGGGTAAAATTCCCCTCAACTTTCAAGCCAACAAGATTATAATTAGAGAATATCAGACTCTGCTGACACCATCCAGACAATACCTTTATCATGTTCGGCGTCCCTTATATAATCATTTACCTGGGCGACCGCTTAGTGTCAATCAGCTCTTTCTGTGACCAGTAACATGGCTGGTTGGAAATGAATATGTTCAAAATTTTAAAAAATATCTCCCTTGCTTTTGAGATTATTCTAAATGCCACCTTAAATGCCGGTAAAAAGATATATAACTTGGTGTTTTAATCTGACTTGGTCTGTGTTTCAGGACTTGTTTGTGGGCAGTGCACTAGCTTATTGGGGCAACCTCCTGATCAGCGTCTCCTCAATCTGGTGAGTCAGTACTGCATGTGTCATGTGATCGTTAGCACCTCCTCAATCTGCAGGTGAGTCAGGTAGTGCATGTGTCATGTGATCAGCATCTCCCCTCAGTCTACAGGTGAGTCAGTAGTGCATGTGACATGTGATCAGCATCTCCCCCTCAGTCTACAGGTGAGTCAGTACTGCATGTGTCATTTGATCAGCATCTCCCTCAATCTACAGGTGAGTCAGTACTGCATGTGTCATGTGATCAGCATCTCCCTCAGTCTACAGGTGAGTCAGTACTGCATGTGTCATGTGATCAGCATCTCCCTCAGTCTACAGGTTAGTCAGTACTGCATGTGTCATGTGATCAGCATCTCCCTCAGTCTACAGGTGAGTCAGTACTGCATGTGTCATGATCAGCATCTCCCTCTCAGTCTACAGGTTAGTCAGTACTGCATGTGTCATGTGATCAGCATCTCCCTCAGTCTACAGGTGAGTCAGTACTGCATGTGTCATGTGATCAGCATCTCCCTCAGTCTACAGGTTAGTCAGTACTGCATGTGTCATGTGATCAGCATCTCCCTCAGTCTACAGGTGAGTCAGTACTGCATGTGTCATGTGATCAGCATCTCCCTCAGTCTACAGGTGAACATGTGTCATGTGATCAGCATCTCCCTCAGTCTACAGGTGAACATGTGTCATGTGATCAGCATCTCCCCCAGTGGACAGGTGAATTTGTAGTGCATGTGTCATGTGATCAGCATCTCCCTCAGTCTACAGGTTAGTCAGTACTGCATGTGTCATGTGATCAGCATCTCCCTCAGTCTACAGGTGAGTCAGTACTGCATGTGTCATGTGATCAGCATCTCCCTCAGTCTACAGGTTAGTCAGTACTGCATGTGTCATGTGATCAGCATCTCCCTCAGTCTACAGGTGAGTCAGTACTGCATGTGTCATGTGATCAGCATCTCCCTCAGTCTACAGGTGAACATGTGTCATGTGATCAGCATCTCCCTCAGTCTACAGGTGAACATGTGTCATGTGATCAGCATCTCCCCCAGTGGACAGGTGAATTTGTAGTGCATGTGTCATGTGATCAGCATCTCCCTCAGTCTACAGGTGAACGGGTGGGCTTTGTTTCCGGAGCACAACTTGAAAACCTTTCAATGTCTTTCAGCAGAGCTTGGCAGATATATGAGGCACATCCCAAAGTGGTGCCTTTGGCTATTTGCAGATTTTTGTCACTTTTATTTTCCCCAGTTTCCAAGGAAACGATTCAGTCTTAGTCTCAAAAGGGAGGGAAGGGTTTCATTTCTGGAGCACAACTTGAAAACCTTTCAATATTTTTCATCAAGACTTGGCAGGCATATCAAACAGATCTTGATGTGGTGCCATTTGCTATTTACAGATTTTTTCATGATTTCCATGGAAACGATTTGGACTAAAAACAATCAAGTTGGACTTTAAGTAACTGTCAGATGATTTGTTCTTTCAAATACAGGGGTCCGAGGGGATTCGTCATCTTCTGGTGACTCATGTATTGTATTGCTATTTGAGGCTTACCATGAAACACACTAGATTCTGATTAAGCTGATGGATGAACAGTTTTGTAAAAGCTTGTTTAATCTGTTATCATCACATCTTTTTGAAACCATAATAACTTGGAATGTAAGGCATGGTATGTATCGCAATACATTAGATGTAAATTGATGTATGATGAGCCAGGTATTGGGATACAATGCTATATACCTGTAATCAAATGTGGATAGATATTTGTATATGCCTACTAGTATATAATGTTTTGTATTCCAGTTGAAGTAATAGATTTTGTCTATGGTTACTGTGTATATTCATGATTTGGGATTTCAGAAATTTACCCACAATCGCAACCAAGCTCGAGAGGAATCGATCCACTACACCAAGGACCCACTATGGTGGTTGGGGCTGATCCTGATGGGGCTGGGTGAGGTCGGCAACTTCACCGCCTACGGCTTTGCTCCCGCCTCGCTTGTAGCCCCACTTGGAACAACAACAGTTGTTGGTATGTCACACACAATACACAGGCTGATAGCACTGGAGCAGCCATCCTGCTGTAACTTGACAACACTCATTTCTGGATGCTTTATTTATAAGTTGCTGGCAGATACTACCCTCGGTCTTTTGTTTAATGCCCAATCTGTACTCATTCACTCTGAAGAAACTACAGTACACCACCATTGACTTTTACTGATATTAATTCTTCAGGCAAGCTGAAAACGCCTTCACCATGTTTATTACTTAACATGTAGTTCTCTATTTCAGCCAACCTCTTTCTAGCTGCTGTTTTCTTGAAAGAAAAAATCCGACCTGAACATTTGTTTGGTGAGTTAATTATTGTCAGTTTTAAGTGTTCCCTCCTGAAGGGGACAGGCCAGACATCAAGGCCAAATACACACTGAAGTCCAGATTTGCTTGCATACAAATAAGCAGGAACAATTTAAAAAACAACACTGTAATTTCCACGTGTATCCTGTTATACCTTCAACCTGTGTTGTTTTACTGAATAAATATGGGCATCCCATATGTGGTTTACTATTAGAATGATGTGTATAGTGCATCAAGCAGGTGCCCTGTCATGATTATTGTGTAGTAGCAGTGTAGGAAATAAGCCCCAAACCCAGCCAGACATAAGGGCTGGTAACTTGAAAGTGTTACAGCCCAAAATGGATTTAACCAGACCAGACACCAAGCAAGATATGGTGAATTTAGATGTATGGAACATCTAAAACTTTTACCAGAGCATCGGGCTGGCTAGCTGTAAGTCTGGACCTTCTGTCAGAAATCTAGCCCATCTCGGGCGGTCGGACGGGTCTTATTTCATACACTGATAGTACGACATATGTCCCTGTTATTAGTTAATACATCACACTTGGGACAGCACTTTTAGTCATGTGAGACAGGATAAAAGCGGAATTGTCTCAACAGTTTTTTGTTATAATCTCCCAAGGGAGTGGTCCCAAGAGAGTGAAAAAATATGGAAAACCCTAAAAATATTTTAATATGGGATGTAAATTGTACTCAGTAGCTCAAGCAGTCAAGTTTTTTAAATAGTTGGGAATCTTTGTGTGTATGTTACAAAATATGTGTATTCCAGTTTTGGGGAAGGTTGTAGCGTCTCAAGTAGATACGATCCTCGTAAACCTATATGAGGAGTCTTATCGGGTTTCTCAGATCAGTTTGATACAAGTGGATGTCATTTTTGTGTTGAGAAAGTCCAGTGCTTCTGTGGGATTAGAGAGTACAACACAGTGCCATGTTGTAATGTGGTTCCATCTTTCTCCTTGTTTCAGGATGTGCTCTGGCCGTTATTGGAGCATTTCTGCTGGTGACATTCTCCTCTCGAGTAAGTCAGATCAGTGTGATGTGAGGAAATATATCAAGTAGTGGTTGTTTCTTTGTTGTTCAGAGTCACTTGAATCACAAGAATGCACAAATCTGAATTTAGTAAAATAATTTGTCATACTTATAAGAAGTACCTTTTAAGAAGTACCTAAATATTCAACAAGTATGAATTCCATAATTCAGCGAGAATGCTTTGTTTTAACCATGTTTAGAGAAAGTGTCATTTGTTTTCCAGAAGGAGAAGGTTTTAAATGGGGATGAAATAGTGGCAGCCCTGACGCAAGTAGCATTCATAGTGTATATAGTGAGTATTTCAGCAGAGTGAGATTAGTAAACTGGTCAGCAAGCAGCATCAGTGTTAAGTCAGATTACAAAGGCGTGGTGACAGTTGTACTGCTAGTATGCTTTCATTTGTCTTCTGTTTTAAAAAATGAAATGTATGTACATATTTATAAGTTTTGAACTTTTGAGTCTTGTTTGGTGATGATTTAGGTTGTGAAATAACTGTCAAAGTACCGTATTATAATGATTTTACGTGACAGTGTTAACGCCAATGGGGTTCCTGGGGTCCTGGGGTCTCTGAGGTTTGCTGTTGATCTGGGGACCTCCTCAGTCCCTGTCACAGGGGCCCCCTATAACAGGGACCCCTTGACTTCCATGCTTTATTTCCAAGACTAGATCCAATGATCTGCTCAAGGTTGACATGTGTTGTCGTACCAGTACATGTTGAAATGTGTGTCATGCAGGTCATTGAGCTGGTGGGGATCATCGTCCTATTTGTCCTGCTGTACAAACTGCAGATGAAGCTGGTTGTCATCTACATTCTCATCACCTCCATCACAGGTTAGCAGAAATACTATATGTTTTTCCTTATCTTGACTCATGCTAATTATGCTTGTCTCCTTCCTTTTGTGAATGATAGTGGAACACTTGAAATACCTTGAAGTTCACTTCTAAAAAAGCAGACGTAAAATCACTCACCCACGAGTAGCGTCCCTTTCCTCCCTTTTGGCGCCCAAATGGTCACATGACCAGCCATATTTGTCACTCTCTCCTTCTTCGCCCTTGAGGACGGTTGTGAGAGCACCTGGGTCCCTATACGGCACATATCCTTTTATATTTTCACACCTTACATCAAAATTATTGCTGTATACGGTTTTTAGGACTATATTCCACATTACGGTTTGAAATTTGATCTAAATTTTCCGTTGTTTGACATATGTTTTCTTCATGTTTACATTTGATGAAAATTTGTATTCGTTGTAGGTATCGAGTGTCTGCGGCTGACCCTCATTTATTATATCCCTAATTGCACTGTTTCATGTTCTTTCAGCTCTCGCTGTAAGTTTTGTGTAAATTTAACTTCGGTTGAATTTAATAATTACCTTTTTTCCATCCATATACATGCTAAGGACTGGGTACGAAGGTATACACAAGTCATGTTAAAATCAAGTGATTGCGCTGATAACTGTGTGTTAACCACTGCTACAGATATTCATAATTCCAGTGAATTACTGAATGTTTCTCGGGAGCAGGTCGATGTACCAGTGGTGAATGCCTGAGGCCATAAGAGATCATTGTCTACTGAGCTGACCCCATTGCAGATGAAGAAGGCTAAATCATCATCTTCGCAGAAGAAGAAGGCTACTACCATGAAGACTTCAGTGAAGTCTACGATCAGCTCTACTCAGAAGACGAGGTCTTTCTCAGCCATGATTGTTCCTCCGGGAATAAGCAGATGTCTATGATGATCCACCCATCCTCATACCTGGAGTCACCATCGTCAGTAAGAAGACGAAGCCTGCTTCTACAGCTACATCGGCATTGATATCAGCGCAGACATTGACAGAAGACCTTCTATCAACGCAGACATCGGGTACCAGAGATAGCAGCAGCATCCACTCTTCACAAGTGCAGCGAGCCTTAGATGACATCTCTTCAGTATCAGATGCATCATCCCTGCAGAAGTCTCTTCAGACAACACAGAACTTCAATCCGGGACTGTTCATGAAACAGTTTACAGACCAGATGATATCGATGATGAAACGTCGCTTTGCTCAGGAGAAGGCTCTACCCCGACTACTAGCCTGCATGAAGGCTCTACAGTCTCCCCACCACATCCGAATGAAGAGGAAGCCTGCGTGAAGGCTCACGGACACGATGATCTTCCCCATCTGAAGTGAGGAGTCTGGACTCCGCTACCAACGTAGACGCTCCAGGGATTGCTGCTAAGAAGTCTCCACGCAGGAAGGAATCGAGGCGTTCTCCCGAACCCTACAGACGTCACAGATATGAATCTTCATCTCCATCGGACTGTGATGCCCATTGAGAGCCTGCGCGAAGGCACTCATACAGAGGGGAAGCTACGTCCAGGAACCCACCTTCGTGAAGTCCTAGAGAATTATCTCAAAACTCCAGGAAAGATTCAAGAGAGACTATAGAGACTCTTGTCGTCGTGCATCCAAAGAGCGAGAGATGTCTAAATCAGAGGATGAAGGTGAAGGCATATTCTCCGATACAGAAGTTAACTCCTGGATCGCCAGTGGCTTGGACTTAGCATTACCTTCTAAGGACACAGATGAGGCGTTTACCTACAAGATGTCCAACAATGATTTTGACATGCTCACCTTTCTACCGATCGACAAGATCTCTCAAGTACCAGACAACCTCAGCGCAGCTTTTGATAAAGCCACCAAGTTGCAGAATTAGCACATCCTGACGTTCAATTCTACATAGGATGGAACCCTTCCTGAAGGCTCCAGAGGTTGATGATGACTACAAGATTATCACCGACTCCTGTCAGAGATCTTACAAGATTGAGGATAAGAATTAAGCGCAGCTGGATACAAACACCAGACGTACTTTCTTCGGATTAGCCAGATCGAGGGCTATCAACGAAACACTCATCTTGAAGTTCAAGAATTCCTCCCGCCAAAGAAGACCGGATGATATACTCCGCTCTACTAAGCAGAAGAGGGAACATCAGTTTATGTCGGAGCACCTAGCATCCACATCAGCAGGCTTGAAGAAGACAAGGATTATTGTCAGCATGCACCTGGAGTGAACGCTTCACCAAGTCCTTATACAGAGCCCCATATTCAGCATCTTACATCTTCGGAGCAGGAATTGAAGAAGTCACCAGAGAAGTCTCTCACGATTCAAGAGAGGTTATGATGATTAAATCCATCAACACCTTGTCTAATGTGATTCGTCAGACGTCCCAACGCTACTCGAATAAATCTAAGCTTGCAGGAGTCCAGAGAGCCAGAGAAAAGAAGTATTCCAGCCTGAAAGGAGGAAGAGTCTCCTTTCGTCGCCCAACCGGAGCTCCTAGAGGTAACCCCGGAAGAGGCTGAGCACCTAGGGGTGCAAGAGGAATCAAGCTGAAGGCCAGGTTTGGAACGACTGAGTCTTCCACCCCAGCCGTTCCTGTACAACCTTCGACAGTGGGTGGGCGTCTTCAACGCGATTACTGGGAGAATTAGGAATACCACAGGACAACTTCACATTATCCCAGATACTCGCGCAGAGGATACAAGATACAGTTGGAAGCTACTCCATACCACAAGCAACCTGATGGCCTTCAACTATGCAGCCGACCAGATAGAGAAACTGGACGATGCTATCAAGACCCTACTCAACAAAGAGGCAGTAGAAGAGATAGATCAAGATCTCATCATGCCCGGGTTTTACTCCCCAATTTTCCTGGTACCGAAGAAGAATTCCAAGGAGAAATTTCGGCTCATCTACAACATGAGGAAGTTCATCCGGGAGTATCTACGCAGACCAGCAAATTCAAGATGATACCTCTTCCTCAGCTCCGATATCTCGTTCGTCCAGCAGACTACCTCACCAGCATAGATCTGCAAGATGTTTATCTACACATCCCGATACATCCAGACTCAAGGAAATACCTAGGATTCCTTTTCAACGGACATCATCGGAAGGTTCTACCGTTTGGAATATCGTCGGCCCCCTGGTTGTTTACTCGAGTGACCAAGCCCATCGTCACATATTTACATCGTCGAGGTCTACGCAGTGCTTTCTACCTGGACGACGGGATTCAAGCTCATCACGATCCCAGTCAACTCAGACTGCAACTACACTTCACCATCAGGCTGCTCACTCAACTAGGATGGCTTGTGAATCTCCTCAAGTCAGAACTGGAGCCAAAACAAGATCTGCAATTTCTAGGAATTCGAGTCATCACACCAGTGAATCACATAGTCGTTCCAGAGGATCGTTGGGTCAAGATACAACAGATGATATCTCAAGCATTGCTCTCTTCCATTGACACTACGTGCTTGGCAAAGCATGCTCGGTCTACTCACCTCAGCTGAAGACATGACTCGCAGAGGGAGATTACAGTTGCGCCCACTACAAGTATTTGTGAACACCCACCTAGACAGTCTAGATCTGTTAAAACTACCGGACAGCCTGAAACCATATCTCCTATGGTGGACTCGGAAGTCGAACGTTTGTGGAGGAACCTGTTTGTCAGAGCCGGTTTGCAATACTCATCTTTACGTGGATGCCTCCTTACAAGGATGCCTCCCTACATCCCCGACGGAATGGATGTTGCATGCAGAAGCATTCCAATTCATGAGACAGACTCTAGGATCCCCACTAATAGACCTGTTTGCAACAAAGTTCAACAAACAGCTACCAACGTTCGTCTCACCGATTCCAGATCCTCAGGCATGGGCAACAGACGCTGCTGTAAGCATCTCATGGGAAGGACTAAATAATTACGTGTTTCTGCCTCCTGCACTGCTACCACAAGTACTACAGAAAATCAAGCAGACGACTACGTTGCAACTGATTTTGGTCGCGCCCTACTGGCCAGCGAGGGTATGGTTTCCCGTCCTCATACAAGAACTCGGAAGTCCAACCCTGAAACTACCAGAGTGGTCGAACCTCACTGGTCCATCCACACACCAAGCAAGCTCACGGAACCCGACACTGTTCCAGCTACGCAGCGTGGAAGCGTATTAAAGCTTGCATGAAGACTAGAGGGTACTCCGCCAAAGCAGCGAAAGCAGTTACATTAGCTTAACAGATCAACTCGCAACTTGTACGACGACAAGTGGCAGAGATTTGAACAGTATGCAAAGAGGAAAGGCTTTACATTGGTGAAAGCAACACATCCTCAAGTGGAGGAATACTTATGTCATCTACGACAGACAAGACACTTTAAAGGTTCAACACTCTCAACTTACTTATCTGCCCTCATTACAGTTATCACCTTGAAAATGGGTATCAAGCTGATCAAAGTACCAGAGATTCTGGCACTAATACGCTCATTCAAGTTGGAAGACCAACAAAAGAAATTTAAGGCTCCTGCCTGGGATCTCAACATAGTTCTACAACATCTCACCAGTGATGCCTACGAGCCTCTAGAAGCGGACATCCTTTGAACTACTAACTCAGAGCGCTGTTCCTGATAAGCCCTAGCAACAGCTGCAAGGATGTCAGAAATACATGCTCTGGACTTTGAAATCTAAACGATTTGAATCAAGACATCGTGACATTGTACATCTTTGACTGAGATGGGATTTTATCACCAAGAACCAACTGCCTGGTCAGCCTCTCAGACAGTTCCACATCCCAGCACTATCTACAGTCCTTGGGCCACAGGATACGCAGGATCTATCCTTGTGCCCAGTCAGAGCACTTAAAGTCTACTTACAGAGAACTAAAACAAGGATACGAACATTCAAACGCCTATTCATCCCCTTATCCACCGAGACGCCCACGGAAGTCACTCGGACAACAATAAAGATCTGGATGAGAGCCGTTATACTAAGGGCCTATAAAGCAGCAGGACTTGAGCCTCCACGAGCCTCCAATCCATATGAAGTCAAGAGTACTGGCGTCAACACTTGCTCTGTATGGAAAACTGCTCGATTGCAACTATAATGGAGGGCTGCTTTTGGAGATCAAACACGGTGTTTGCCAACCACTACCTCAGAGACATTGCCACCAAAGACATCTCAGGCATTTACCCGTTTGGGCCACTTGTTCTAGCACAACAACTAACGGTTCCACAAAGGCGCTGAGTAAATCTCACTCCTTTTATCATGTGACTTGTGAAAAACAACTCTCTGGAGAGCAATGGCTATAAGTCCATGCACATGTCTAGGACAGACTAGCATGAGTGATAGACCCTGTACTTGTATAGGACATACTTGTACATGCGTGCATCAAGTGATGGAGTTGCAATAAATAACTAATGGAATATTAGTATATCTAACCTCCACAAGGAAATGTAAGAAGTTTCAAAATACATCTGACAAGTGGTGGTCCCCCCAGACTCATCAGAGAGAAGTTGAAAGAACAGAATCTTAAACAGTGCCGTCATAAGTTCCTAAGGGGGGGTAATACAGGACGTAAATCTACAACCAGTGAATCCAGAACGTGGCCTGACCCACCACCGTTTCCGGCAGATTCTGCAATCATAATTAGCATGAGTCAGGATAAGGAAAAATATGTAATTTTCTGACTAAAATTGATATTTTATACTTATCCTGACTCATGAGGTTAGCCCTCCCAACCTCCCCTCTTATGGCACTCTGGATTTCCATGTAAATCTGGGTTTCGGGCTTACATACGGAGAGAGTGACAAACTATGTGACCATTTCGGTGCCAAAGGGAAGGAAAGGGACGCTACTCGTGGGTGAGTGATTTTACGTCTGTTTTTTTAGAAGTGAACTTCAAGGGATATCAAGTGTTCCAGTATCATTCTCAAGAGGAAGGAGCCAAGCATAATTAGCATGAGTCAGGATAAGTATAAAATATCAATTTTAGTCAGAAAATTACATATTGTAGGTCAGTAGGCATATAGTGTGGACTGATAGGCATATACTGTTGGTCAGTAGGCATGTACTGTGAACTGATAGGCATATACTGTGGACCAGTAGACATGTACTGTGAACTTATAGGCATATACTGTGGACCAGTAGACATGTACTGTGGACATAGGAATATACTGTAGGCCAATAGGCATGTACAGTGGACGATAGGCATATATTGGGGACTGATAGGCTTGTACTGGGGACTTTGTGGCATGTACTGGGGATCAATAGGCAAAGACTGTGGACCACTTTTCATGTACTGTCGACCAACCGGCATTTACTAAATAATGCTAAAACTCTGAGTGACCCTTAATTGTTTACATTTGCATTCTTATCTATACAATCTTGTCACATCAGGTTCCCCGTGCATGCAGGAAACAGAGGCATAATGAGAAACTCTAGGTGGCATACTTTCTCACAGTGTACTATGTCAGATCTACTTCTTGGCACAACTGGGTCCGGCAGTGATAAGGACTGATCAGATTGGTTCACTCGTCACGCTGAAGACCCGGGTTCGATTTCCCACATGGGCACAATGTGTGAATCCCATTTCTGGTGTCCATTGCTGGAATATTGCTAAAAGCAGCGTAAAACCCAGCTCACTCACAGATCAAATTGTTTAAGATGTGTCTTTCCACTTGGTTATTTAGTCAATCAACTCTAACAGTCACAGACAAAACACTTCATCCATGTTGTTAAACATGACGGACAGACGAACAACGAACATGATGCAAACTTGTTTTGTTGTTGTGGTGTTACAAGACATGAAAAGGAGGAGCTGAAATATTGTATTAAAATGTTATTTACAGATGTATGAATATGTTGTCTCATGATGAACATGCTGTACACTCACTTTGCAGCCTCCTTCACAGTCATCTCGGCCAAGGCAGTGTCCAGCATGTTGAATCTGTCATTTGCCGGAGCATCGCAGTTTGCTCACCCCATCTTCTACATCATGCTGATCGTGATGATAGCCACTGCTGTAATACAAGTCAAGTAAGTCTCACCTTTGCCATGCTGATCAAGCCAAGTAAGTCTCACCTTTGTCATGCTGATCAAGTCATGTAAGTCACACCTTTGTCATGCTGATCAAGTCATGTAAGTCACACCTTTGTCATGCTGATCAAGTCAAGTAAGTCTCACCTTAATCAGGCTGATCAAGACAAGTAAGTCTCACCTTTGTCATGCTGATCAAGTCAAGTAAGTCTCACCTTAATCAGGCTGATCAAGACAAGTAAGTCTCACCTTTGTCATGCTGATCAAGCCAAGTAAGTCTCACCTTTGTCATGCTGATCAAGTCATGTAAGTCACACCTTTGTCATGCTGATCAAGTCAAGTAAGTCTCACCTTAATCAGGCTGATCAAGACAAGTAAGTCTCACCTTTGTCATGCTGATCAAGTCAAGTAAGTCTCACCTTAATCAGGCTGATCAAGACAAGTAAGTCTCACCTTTGTCATGCTGATCAAGCCAAGTAAGTCTCACCTTTGTCATGCTGATCAAGTCATGTAAGTCTCACCTTAATCAGGCTGATCAAGCCAAGTAAGTCTCACCTTTGTCATGCTGATCAAGTCAAGTAAGTCTCACCTTAATCAGGCTGATCAAAACAAGTAAGTCTCACCTTTGTCATGCTGATCAAGTCAAGTAAGTCTCACCTTAATCAGGCTGATCAAGACAAGTAAGTCTCACCTTTGTCATGCTGATCAAGTCAAGTAAGTCACACCTTAATCAGGCTGATCAAGACAAGTAAGTCTCACCTTAATCAGGCTGATCAAAACAAGTAATTCTCACCTTTGTCATGCTGATCAAGTCAAGTAAGTCTCACCTTAATCAGGCTGATCAAGACAAGTAAGTCTCACCTTTGTCATGCTGATCAAGACAAGTAAGTCTCACCTTAATCAGGCTGATCAAGTCAAGTAAGTCTCACCTTAATCAGGCTGATCAAGACAAGTTAGTCTCACCTTTCCCATGCTGATCAAGTCAAGTAAGTCTCATCTTAATCAGGCTGATCAAGACAAGTCAGTCTCACCTTTCCCATGCTGATCAGGTCAAGTGAGTCACATCTTCTAGGTCATGTTGATCAAGTCAAGTAAGTCACACCTTCTAAGTCATGTTGGTCAGGTCCTACTTGCACAACACAATCTTAGCGCTACAATTATTGTAATTTCTTCAGATCGTCATCCACTTGCACAAAGCAATTGTAGGCTAAGATCTTTGTAAGCTACAATCAAAACTTGGTCAAACCTATCTAAAGTGCTTAAGATCAGTGAAGTCTGTGAATAAACCTGACAATATCGCATTGAAGTCAAGGTACTGACTACTAAGCAGTAGTATCAAAGGCCAGTGTCCATCTAATGTTCAACATTCAAAGTAGTTTCTAGACTTATACAGAATTCTGGACCCAATTCTGCATTACCCCCAGAATACTAACAGTACAAATACAACCACTTTTCTGTTACCATGGTTACAGATACCTGAACCAGGCCATGAAGAACTTTGACTCAACAGTGGTTGTCCCCACTAACTTTGTATTCTTCACAGTCAGTGCCATTGTAGCAGGTAAGTTCCATGTTAAGTTGTTTTGTAGCCTTTCATTCACAATTCCAATATCATGAAAGCTGTACTGTGATGTTTTGCGATTGCATTATTCTCTACTACAGGTGAACTTCATCATATTGAGTAGACATTCAATTTTCAAAAATACCTTATTTCATGTTGTGCACTTTCCCTTGTTCTTCGACCATGGGTGAAAACAACCAAAAATGAAACATATCAGTGGAAGACACTCATATGTAGTGATATAACACCCATAGATAGTGATATAACACCCATAGGTAGTGATATAACACCCATAGATAGTGATATAACACTCATAGATAGTGATATAACACCCATAGATAGTGATATAACACCCATAGATAGTGATATAACACTCATAGGTAGTGATATAACACCCATAGATAGTGATATAACACCCATAGATAGTGATATAACACCCATAGATAGTGATATAACACCCATAGGTAGTGATATAACACCCATAGATAGTGATATAACACCCATAGGTAGTGATATAACACCCATAGATAGTGATATAACACCCATAGATAGTGATATAACACCCATAGATAGTGATATAACACCCATAGATAGTGATATAACACCCATAGATAGTGATATAACACCCATAGATAGTGATATAACACCCATAGATAGTGATATAACACCCATAGATAGTGATATAACACCCATAGATAGTGATATAACACTCATAGATAGTGATGTAACACCCATAGATAGTGATATAACACTCATAGATAGTGATATAACACTTATAGATAGTGATATAACACCCATAGATAGTGATATAACACTCATAGATAGTGATATAACACCCATAGATAGTGATATAACACCCATAGATAGTGATATAACACTTATAGGTAGTGATATAACACTTATAGGTAGTGATATAACACCCATAGATAGTGATATAACACCCATAGATAGTGATATAACACTTATAGGTAGTGATATAACACTCATAGATAGTGATATAACACCCATAGATAGTGATATAACACTTATAGGTAGTGATATAACACTCATAGATAGTGATATAACACTCATAGATAGTGATATAACACCCATAGATAGTGATATAACACTCATATGTAGTGATAAACACCCATAGATAGTGATATAACACCCATAGATAGTGATATAACACCCATAGATAGTGATGTAACACCCATAGATAGTGATATAACACCCATAGATAGTGATATAACACTCATATGTAGTGATAAACACCCACAGATAGTGATATAACACCCATAGATAGTGATATAACACTCATATGTAGTGATATAACACTTATATGTAGTGATATAACACTCATAGATAGTGATATAACACTAATATGTAGTTATAAACACCCATAGGTAGTGATATAACACTCATATGTAGTGATGTAACCCTCATAGATAGTGATATAACACGCATAGATAGTGATATAGCACCCATAGATAGTGATATAACACCCATAGATAGTGATATAACACCCATAGATAGTGATATAACACCCATAGATAGTGATATAACACCCATAGATAGTGATATAACACCCATAGATAGTGATATAACACTTATAGATAGTGATATAACACTTATAGGTAGTGATATAACACCCATAGGTAGTGATATAACACCCATAGGTAGTGATATAACACCCATAGGTAGTGATATAACACTTATAGGTAGTGATATAACACTTATAGGTAGTGATATAACACTTATAGGTAGTGATATAACACCCATAGATAGTGATATAACACCCATAGATAGTGATATAACACCCATAGATAGTGATATAACACCCATAGATAGTGATATAACACCCATAGATAGTGATATAACACCCATAGATAGTGAAATAATAGCTTATAGGTAGTGATATAACACTCATAGATAGTGATATAACACCCATAGATAGTGATATAACACCCATAGATAGTGATATAACACCCATAGATAGTGATATAACACCCATAGATAGTGACATAACACCCATAGGTAGTGATATAACACCCATAGATAGTGATATAACACCCATAGATAGTGATATAACACCCATAGATAGTGAAATAATACTTATAGGTAGTGATATAACACTCATAGATAGTGATATAACACCCATAGATAGTGATATAACACCCATAGATAGTGATATAACACTCATATGTAGTGATATAACACTTATATGTAGTGATATAACACTCATAGATAGTGATATAACACTAATATGTAGTGATAAACACCCATAGGTAGTGATATAACACTCATATGTAGTGATGTAACCCTCATAGATAGTGATATAACACGCATAGATAGTGATATAGCACCCATAGATAGTGATATAACACCCATAGGTAGTGATGTAACTCATAGGTAGTGATATAACACTCATAGATAGTGATATAACACTCATATGTAGTGATATAACACCCATAAGTAGTGATATAACACTCATAGATAGTGATCTAACACTAATAGATAGTGATATTACACTCATAGGTAGTGATATAACACTCATAGATGAGTGATATAACACTCATGGGTAGTGATATAACACTTATAGATAGTGATATAACACTCATAGATAGTGATATAACACTAATATGTAGTGATAAACACCCAAAGGAAGTGATATAACACCCATAGATGGTGATATAACACCCATAGATGAGTGATGCAACACCCACAGATAGTGATATAACACCCATAGATAGTGATATAACACTCATATGTGAAGTGATAAACACCCACAGATAGTGATATAACACCCATAGGTAGTGATGTAACTCATAGGTAGTGATATAACACTCATAGATAGTGATATAACACTCACATGTAGTGATATAACACTCATAGATAGTGATATAACACTAATATGTAGTGATAAACACCCATAGGTAGTGATATAACACTCATATGTAGTGATGCAACCCTCATAGATAGTGATATAACACACATAGATGATGATATAGCACCCATAGATGAGTGATATAACACCCATAGGTAGTGATGTAACTCATAGGTAGTGATATAACACTCATAGATAGTGATATAACACTCATATGTGAAATGATATAACACCCATAAGTAGTGATATAACACTCATAGATAGTGATCTAACACTAATAGATAGTGATATTACACTCATAGGTAGTGATATAACACTCATAGATAGTGATATAACACTCATAGGTAGTGATATAACACTTATAGATAGTGATATAACACTCATAGATAGTGATATAACACTAATATGTAGTGATAAACACCCAAAGGAAGTGATATAACACCCATAGATAGTGATATAACACTCATATGTAGTGATATAACACTTATATGTAGTGATATAACACTCATAGATAGTGATATAACACTAATATGTAGTGATAAACACCCATAGGTAGTGATATAACACTCATATGTAGTGATGTAACCCTCATAGATAGTGATATAACACGCATAGATAGTGATATAGCACCCATAGATAGTGATATAACACCCATAGGTAGTGATGTAACTCATAGGTAGTGATATAACACTCATAGATAGTGATATAACACTCATATGTAGTGATATAACACCCATAAGTAGTGATATAACACTCATAGATAGTGATCTAACACTAATAGATAGTGATATTACACTCATAGGTAGTGATATAACACTCATAGATAGTGATATAACACTCATAGGTAGTGATATAACACTTATAGATAGTGATATAACACTCATAGATAGTGATATAACACTAATATGTAGTGATAAACACCCAAAGGAAGTGATATAACACCCATAGATAGTGATATAACACCCATAGATAGTGATGTAACACCCATAGATAGTGATATAACACCCATAGATAGTGATATAACACTCATATGTAGTGATAAACACCCACAGATAGTGATATAACACCCATAGGTAGTGATGTAACTCATAGGTAGTGATATAACACTCATAGATAGTGATATAACACTCATATGTAGTGATATAACACTCATAGATAGTGATATAACACTAATATGTAGTGATAAACACCCATAGGTAGTGATATAACACTCATATGTAGTGATGTAACCCTCATAGATAGTGATATAACACGCATAGATAGTGATATAGCACCCATAGATAGTGATATAACACCCATAGGTAGTGATGTAACTCATAGGTAGTGATATAACACTCATAGATAGTGATATAACACTCATATGTAGTGATATAACACCCATAAGTAGTGATATAACACTCATAGATAGTGATCTAACACTAATAGATAGTGATATTACACTCATAGGTAGTGATATAACACTCATAGATAGTGATATAACACTCATAGGTAGTGATATAACACTTATAGATAGTGATATAACACTCATAGATAGTGATATAACACTAATATGTAGTGATAAACACCCAAAGGAAGTGATATAACACGCATATGTAGTGATGTAACCCTCATAGATAGTGATATAACACCCATAGATAGTGATATAACACCCATAGATAGTGATATAACACCCATAGATAGTGATATAACACCCATAGATAGTGATATAACACTCATAGGTAGTGATATAACACCCATAGATAGTGATATAACACTCATAGGTAGTGATATAACACCCATAGGTAGTGATATAACACCCATAGGTAGTGATATAACACCCATAGATAGTGATATAACACCCATAGATAGTGATATAACACCCATAGATAGTGATATAACACCCATAGGTAGTGATATAACACCCATAGATAGTGATATAACACTCATAGATAGTGATATAACACCCATAGATAGTGATGTAACACCCATAGATAGTGATATAACACTCATAGATAGTGATATAACACTTATAGATAGTGATATAACACCCATAGATAGTGATATAACACCCATAGATAGTGATATAACACCCATAGATAGTGATATAACACTTATAGGTAGTGATATAACACTTATAGGTAGTGATATAACACCCATAGATAGTGATATAACACTTACAGGTAGTGATATAACACTCATAGATAGTGATATAACACCCATTGATAGTGATATAACACTTATAGGTAGTGATATAACACTCATAGATAGTGATATAACACCCATAGATAGTGATATAACACTTATAGGTAGTGATATAACACCCATAGGTAGTGATATAACACCCATAGGTAGTGATATAACACCCATAGGTAGTGATATAACACTTATAGGTAGTGATATAACACTTATAGGTAGTGATATAACACCCATAGATAGTGATATAACACCCATAGATAGTGATATAACACCCATAGATAGTGATATAACACCCATAGATAGTGAAATAATACTTATAGGTAGTGATATAACACTCATAGATAGTGATATAACACCCATAGATAGTGATGTAACACCCATAGATAGTGATATAACACCCATAGATAGTGATATAACACCCATAGATAGTGATATAACACCCATAGGTAGTGATATAACACCCATAGATAGTGATATAACACCCATAGATAGTGATATAACACCCATAGATAGTGATATAACACCCATAGATAGTGAAATAATACTTATAGGTAGTGATATAACACTCATAGATAGTGATATAACACCCATAGATAGTGATATAACACCCATAGATAGTGATATAACACCCATAGATAGTGATATAACACCCATAGATAGTGATATAACACCCATAGATAGTGATATAACACTTATAGGTGGTGATATAACACTCATAGATAGTGATATAACACTCATAGATAGTGATATAACACCCATAGATAGTGATATAACACCCATAGATAGTGATATAACACCCATAGATAGTGATATAACACCCATAGATAGTGATATAACACCCATAGATAGTGATATAACACTTATAGGTAGTGATATAACACTCATAGATAGTGATATAACACCCATAGATAGTGATATAACACTCATAGGTAGTGATATAACACTCATAGATAGTGATATAACACCCATAGATAGTGATATAACACCCATAGATAGTGATATAACACCCATAGATAGTGATATAACACCCATAGATAGTGATGTAACACCCATAGATAGTGATATAACACCCATAGATAGTGATATAACACTCATATGTAGTGATAAACACCAACAGATAGTGATATAACACCCATAGATAGTGATATAACACTCATATGTAGTGATAAACACCCATAGATAGTGATATAACACCCATAGATAGTGATATAACACCCATAGATAGTGATGTAACACCCATAGATAGTGATATAACACCCATAGATAGTGATATAACACTCATATGTAGTGATAAACACCCACAGATAGTGATATAACACCCATAGATAGTGATATAACACTCATATGTAGTGATATAACACTTATATGTAGTGATATAACACTCATAGATAGTGATATAACACTAATATGTAGTGATAAACACCCATAGGTAGTGATATAACACTCATATGTAGTGATGTAACCCTCATAGATAGTGATATAACACGCATAGATAGTGATATAGCACCCATAGATAGTGATATAACACCCACAGGTAGTGATGTAACTCATAGGTAGTGATATAACACTCATAGATAGTGATATAACACTCATATGTAGTGATATAACACCCATAAGTAGTGATATAACACTCATAGATAGTGATCTAACACTAATAGATAGTGATATTACACTCATAGGTAGTGATATAACACTCATAGATAGTGATATAACACTCATAGGTAGTGATATAACACTTATAGATAGTGATATAACACTCATAGATAGTGATATAACACTAATATGTAGTGATAAACACCCAAAGGAAGTGATATAACACGCATATGTAGTGATGTAACCCTCATAGATAGTGATATAACAACCATAGATAGTGATATAGCACCCATAGATGGTGATATAACACCTATAGGTAGTGATGTAACTCATAGGTAGTGATATAACACTCATAGATAGTGATATAACACTAATAGATAGTGATGTAACACTCATAGATAGAGATATAACACTCATAGGTAGCGATATAACACTCATAGATAGTGATATAACACTCATAGATAGTGATATAACACTCATATGTAGTGATATAACACCCATAGATAGTGATGTACAACCCATAGATAGTGATATAACACTCAAAGATAGTGATATAACACCCATAGATAGTGATATAACATTTAAATAGTGATATAACACTCATAGATAGTGGTATGACACCCATAGATAGTGATATAACACATATAAGTAGTGATATAACACTCATAGATAGTGATATAACACCCATAGATAGTGATATAACACTCATAGATAGTGATATAACACCCATAGACAGTGATGTAACACTCATATATAGTGATATAACTCTGATATATGGTGATATAACACTCACATGTAGTGATATAACACCCATAGATAGTGATGTACAACCCATAGATAGTGATATAACACTCATAGATAGTGATATAAGACTCATAGGTAGTGATATAACACATGTAAATAGTGTCGTAACACTCATAGACAGTGATGTAACACTCATATATAGTGATATTACACCCATAGATAGTAATATAAGACTCATAGGTAGTGATATAATACTCATAGGTAGTGATATAACACCCATAGGTAGTGATATAACACCCATAGATAGTAATATAAGACTCATAGGTAGTGATATAATACTCATAGGTAGTGATATAACACTCATAGGTAGTGATATAACACCCATGGATAGTGATGTAACACTCATATATAGTGATGTAACACTCATAGATAGTGATATAACACTCATAGATAGTGATATAACACATGTAAATAGTGATGTAACACTCATAGATAGTGATATGGGTACACTTATGACACATATAAGTAGTGATATAACACTCATAGATAGTGATATAACACTCATAGATAGTGATATAACACTCAAAGATAGTGATATAACACCCATAGAGAGTGATATGGGTACACTTATGACACTTATTAGTAGTGATATAACATTCATAGATAGTGTTATAACACCCATAGATAGTAATATAACACTCATATGTAGTGATGTAACACTCATAGGTAGTGATATAACACCCATATGTAGTGATATAACACTCATAGATGGTGATATAACACTCATAGATAGTGATATAACACTCATAGATAGTGATATAACACCAATAGACAGTGATGTAACACTCATATATAGTGATATAACACCCATAGATAGTAATATAAGACTCATAGGTAGTGATATAATACTCATAGGTAGTGATATAACACTCATAGGTAGTGATATAACACCCATAGATAGTGATGTAACACTCATAGGTAGTGATATAACACTCATAGATAGTGATATAACACCCATAGATAGTGACGTAACACTCATATATAGTGATGTAACACTCATAGATAGTAATATAACACTCATAGGTAGTGATGTAAAACCCATAGATAGTGATATAACACTCATAGATAGTGATATGGGTACACTTATGACACTTATGGGTAATGATGTCACACACATAGATAGTGATTTAACACTCAAAGGTAGTGATGTAAAACCCATAGATAGTAATATAACACTCATAGGTAGTGATTTAAAACCCATAGATAGTGATATAACACTCATAGATAGTGATATGGGTACACTTTGGACACTTATTAGTAGTGATATAACTCTCATAGATAGTGATATAACACCCATAGGTAATGATATAACACTCATAGATAGTGATATAACACTCATAGGTAGTGATGTATCACCCATAGATAGTAATATAACACTCAAAGGTAGTTATGTAAAACCCATAGATAGTGATATAACACTCATAGATAGTGATATGGGTACACTTATGACACTTATTAGTAGTGATATAACACTCATAGATAGTGATATAACACCCATAGGTAATGATATAACACTCATAGATAGTAAGATAACACTCATAGATAGTGATTTGGGTACACTTATGACACTTATAGTAGTGATATAACACTCATAGATAGTGATATAACACCCATAGGTAATGATATAACACTCATAGATAGTGATATGGGGACACATGACACTTATGGGTAGTGATATAACACTCATAGATAGTGATATAACACCCATAGATAGTGGTAATGGAACACATGACACTTATGGGTAGTGATATAACACCCATAGATAGTGATATAACACCCATAGATAGTGATATAACACTCATAGCTAGTGATATACCACTTATTGGGAGTGATATAACACTTATGGGTAGTGATTTAACACTTATATAGCTAGTGATATAACACTTATAGCTAGTGATACAACTTATAGCTAGTGATATAACACGTATAGCTAGTGATGTAACACTTATAGCTAGTGATATAACACTTATAACTAGTAATCTCCTTGGATCACGTTACATGCTGTGTTAAGAAGACTGATATTGATTGGCTGCTGTATAAATAATCAGGTTACCCCTGCTTACAAGAAATTGTTTACAAGAGATTATATCAACATACTGTACCCTTCCCCTTTTTTTCCGCTGTCTAAACTCAATCTACTTTTTTGCAGGAATTATTTTTTATAAAGAATTCTGGGGAATGAATGCCTTGGAGATCTGTATGTTTTTATTTGGGTAAGTTCATCTCTGGATTTTCTCCCTTCACAGTTATGTAGCCATTGCTTAAATCTGTGGTATCAGAATTTGTTTGATATTCTTGCTTACCATGATTCCATGTCTCAGAGTGTTCAAAACAATAAAGGTATTTACAGTCATATGTTTGTTTTTTTCCTCAAGAATTGAATACAAATTGTTGAAGCAAAGTGTGCCAATGTGGGTTTGTGTAAGTGGTGATAGGAATTAGAAACTTGATCTGTCTTTCTGTTACAGATGCATACTGTGTTTTATCGGAGTATACTTCATCACAGTAAAGCGTCCGGAACCTGACACAGAGAAGGCTCAAGCCCCACCTTCCCAAATTGCACCAGAACTTTTCCCCTGTGAGTAGATATACTGAGATTAGGCACATTATGTCTTGTGTTAGTATGTGTCGGCTGTTATGTCTTGTGTGATTAGTCAATTACATGTGGTGCCCAGTTCAAGGAATTATCACACAATAGTTATGGAGTACATTTCGCAGAATACAACCTGTATTTCATCATAATGTGCAGTTTGCCTAACAACTGGTCAGGAGGTTAACTGTGATGAAGATTTCTTAGAATTATACACAGTGACAACTATGTACAGCATGGTTAAAGTGATTCACTGAATCAAGAACATAAAAGTTCCCTTCTTATGTTTCAGCATGGCTGCTGGCGAGTGTCAACGTGGGTCAGGTCCAGCCAACAGGTGTCGCCACTCACGGGTCCAGCATGGACCCGGACTGTACCCCTATTCTCACAGCCAGGGACGGTGAAGCGTCCAGCTCCCAGGAGTCCCTGGTCGGACATGAAAACTCGGCCATATCTGTTGACACTCAGGACAACAAGAACTATGGCGCCACAGAGAACAACAACAACAACAATAACAACAATGATAACAACAACAACTGAGGAGCTGGGTGGATGTTGAAATTGAACCAGAAAACAACACAAACATACAGCCATAGATTAGAAAGAGAAATTATCTCTAAACATTTTTCCCAAACATTGCCAAAATGGTGCATATGAAAGTTATTCTAATTCTGAGTAGATTTATCAACATGTCATTGGCTTGTCATTGGTGATCATGCTGAATTGATAGCAGCTGCTTGTTTTCATGTTGTTGTTTTATTCTCTCAGAAGGGCTCCTGTGTGTCTTTTAGAGCACAGGCAAGTACTTTCGTCCAATGGGGTGTCCCTATTTTGGTCACGTAGACAACATGTGTTTGTTGATAAGGCACTGTGAAGTGTACTGTTTTAAGAGGCATGAAAGTCTCCTGCTTCATGATACATGTTCATTCCAGCTGACACTCTACAGGCTGCTTTGAATGTGAATGGTAGAGACTTGTACAGCCTGCCCTGTACAGTCAGCTGAACCGAAGTATTTGCCTGTGTTCCATGATACAATGAGAACTTGTGGCAGTAATTTATGGGGATATAAATGTTCTGTTTTGTGAAAAAAAGGGTTTAGTTGTGCTCTTTGTTTTCATGACATATCCCCACAAAGTACTGACAGTTGTCCTATATCTATTACATATCACTTGATGTCAGTGCTATCATGATTGTCTTTATACTGGCAGGGAACTGCAATGCCAAAATATATTTGGGCAGTTTGTTATGAGGTTGTTGGTTTAAATGTGGATGAGGAATATGTTGATAGACAGAGTAGTAACATGTAATCATGGTTCGTACAGGTATTACCTGTGACGAGATATTTTATACAGAAAGATGAAACCGAATTCGTTGTTGTCTCGCCGATTATTCTAATACATGTTTACACTCACAATCATGTGGTGTAATCCTTCTACTCATACCTGAAGTGGTAGTTCACAGTCCGTGATTTCTGTTCAGTGTTGACCTGATTATCAGCACTGAGGGGACCGTTCTAGAATGTGAGTGTTTTGTTCACTTCGCCGATCAAAGAAAAAGCTGTACTGCGTTTTAGTCATGAACGTAAAGTCTCAGATTAATTATTCCTCACATTCCCTCAGCGTGTAATCATTTAACACGGTTGCCCTTGTGGTATATCCAGTGCTGCTACCAGTGCTCTCATCCATATTGCATGTGTTTGTTTAATGTTGGCATGTGCTTCGTTATGAGATAGTATTTAGCATTCAATCAAATATTGAACTGCTGGTATTGAATATTGAACTAGTGCAATATGTATGTTCAGTTCTGTTAATTATAGAGTTTTTGCATTTACACATTCCAGTATATATTTGTTTCAGTTTTTAAAGCATTATCATTCCTTATTGCATTGTCACTGTTTGAATGCAAAATATGAATGTTCTTGGAATGGTCTGCTATTTCTCATGGTGTAGTACTCTTTTGGTCAGCTGACCTTGACCGTGGTTTCTTTGGGTCAGCTGACCTTGACCGTGGTTTCTTTGGGTCAGCTGACCTTGACCGTGGTTTCTTTGGGTCAGCTGACCTTGACCGTGGTTTCTTTGGGTCAGCTGACCTTGACCATGGTTTCTTTGGGTCAGCTGACCTTGACCGTGGTTTGTCTTCCTTAAATCGGACATTAGTAATCAAGCAAAAACATTTTGCTATTTTTCAATATTCCTCACAAGTCATCGTGTGACACTGGTTAAGAAATCTGTGAAACCAGAGGAAACATTGGCCTGGCCATTCAATTACAGATGGGCAGATGTATGGCCGAGTACCATCAACTACTTTTTATAAATTACTTTTCAGTATCATAATTTACAGAACGGTTTTCTAAAACTCAATTTAAATTTCAAAACTACTAGTATACTGCCAATATTCCATCATTCATATTTCCACAAATATGTTTAAGGTTATTTTTTCAAAGCATACATTGATATTAATTGAAGAAATCATGACTGTGTTTGGCATGTCTATGTTATCAAAGCCAGTATCACTGATAATGTCCCGTTTTGTGTCCTTTACATGTCTGTGGTGCTGTTCAACACGGCCAGTTGTCTGTTATCCCATATCATAGCCAAAGATATACCCTTTATTCCATGTCAGAGTATTAACTGCATTTTTCATATCTGAATGATTATATACGCTGTTGTAGAAAAGACAAACATTGTGCTTGTAGCATATACATCCAATACATCAACATCTGTTTCCAAATGATCAAATTTATGAAGTGAATCTGTATTGCCCCCCAACTACCACTAGGTTGTATTGAGGTTCAGCTTGCCATCCACTGCAAATATTTGTAGCTTCTCACATATCAGCAGTATTTCCGTAATGTATTTATTCCGCTTATTAGGTGATGTGGCTACTGTTCTATAGAGGGGCGGGGGGGTAGCCTGGCGGTCAAACTGTTCGCTTGTTCAATTCCCCACATGGGTACAATGTGTGAAGCCCATTTCTGGTGTCCCCCGCCATGATGTTGCTGGAATATTGCTAAAAGCTGCGTAAAACCCAAATCACTCACTCACTGTTCTATAGTATTTCAGATGCAGTTGACACTTATCTCTCCAGTCTTTGAAATGTCCCATCTTATTTTTATCAGTATGTTTCTATCTCTTGCCATGATGTTTCAAATGTACCTTGTTTTGTTGTCTCTTCCCAAAACCCACATAGGGGTATGGTATTTTGTTTATTTTGTCCTGATACACTAACTGTGTGTGGTTTTATATAAACTGACAATGGTTGTGATGATATTTAATTAGAACTGGTATTCTCTCAATGTTTTTGCCTCCCAATGATTCTGTAAAAGTTGTAAACACAGTATTAGCAGACTTAAATCTGAACCGAAGCATGGCCAAGTTGGATTCCAAACTTTCACAAATTTATTGGGGATGTGAAGTTGAAAAGTGTACAAGGACAGGAGGTATGAGGCTGCATTGTTTGATGACAGGTGGGTCTGGCTTCCTTGTTGTATTACCGTATTAGATTTATAGCTTTATGACCCGAAGGTTGAAACATTGAGATTTGGATAAACCATGGTTTAAGGCGTTTCTTTAAATGACAACGATTTGTCTTCTCATGTTGATATATGACGGCATAGGATTCTTTGTTACTGAAAATATTTACAGACTCTTAAATTTAGTTACACATTAGTGAGTGGTTTTGAAACAATTATCAAAAGAATACTGCTCTTCTTGCTTTGACATAAGGAGCATGGCCAGAAGAAGTCATAAGGTATTGGAGCAATTAGAAGGAACATTCGTCACCTCTTGTATCCATCCCCATAATGCAGTATCTGGGAACAGTATTAGTACTGACTTGCTTTGTAGCTTCACAGTGTACCAGTACTTGGAGGGGCATGATTTTCAACATTTTTGGAAAAGCTTTGTGCTGACATATGCTCGAGCTAACAACTGCCAGATTGTCCATAATGGGAAATCTTTTGGTCCTACACACTACAGTGCATTTTAAATTTACAGTATTACAGCAGTCTTTTTGTGGTGTTTGCAACGCTCAAAGTAAGATGTAAACTCCAGCATTTTATTCACCACTGATAGCACTCGAGTGTCAAGACAGAGACGTATAGGGATTACCGGAACACGCCAGTACGTCACATCACTTGTTTCTTTGTCCACCTGCAGTATTGCTGTTTATGTATTGTCCATTTGTACACAATGAATATTGAGTTCAAAGTCACGTGTTTGTGTGCTCTCAAAGAGATGTGTGATATTGGCCAGTTAGACCCATTGTTTGAATTATTGACATACCAATGATTTTACAGATTATTAACACAATGAAAAACAGTTTTATTACTTTATTGTTGTATTTAAAGACTGTTTAAATTTTGTGTGTGTAGTTCTGTCAATAAGGGATTTATTGTCAAAAGGATTTTAATGGAGTTATTGTATATTTTGGACCAAGCTGAATTGGGAGATGTAATGCTATCTTGTATTATGGTGTAGTATTATTGTGTTGAGAGTTTTTTTATATAAAGACCCTTTTTGTGCTGAGCACATAAATTTTACACACCCACCGGCTGCAAATGCTTTTTACCGTGATGGTACCTTGAAAATTTGAAACAAATTTCTTTCTTCCCTACCTGAAACCTACTGTTAATAGATTTGGGAATTGTTCAAATAACAGGACCACTTTCCTACTGTTGTCAAATTCTCATCTTCCCTTGGGTATTTGGACAGTGGATATTGCAATATCAGATGTACAATAATGTACTGTTGATCATTTCCTGAAGAGAAGTTATGACGCAGAATGAATCTCATGAATGCCGTAGTGTCTCACAAGCAGAAATCTGAAACAGAAGCAACCCCAAGAATGCAGCTCATCTCATGTCTAGTCATAACTTGAAGGTTGAACCACGCTCTTACTATTGACCTGTGGTTTCTGTAGTCCAGGCCTGACCACAGTTTGCAGGTCATGTTGATACAGTTGTAACATCGCTGAAAATGTTGTTAATGCATAATTTGTTAACCATGACTGATCTCATGTTGACTTAGTATTCATGTGTGTGCAATAATCCCTGTCTATGTAAGCTACATGCCAACTCATTTATGAGCCATTTAAAAGCCATCCAAAAACAGTTTCTTGCACATTTACATTTTTGGCTGATAAAAATAATAAAATTTTAGTTTTTCAGCGGGGAAAAATTAATTTTTATTTGTTTTCGTATTCTTGAAAAAATACGACCAGCGGATCCATAAAACAAGAAATAAGATTGGCTGGCCTTATGATGAGCTATCAAAGTCTGCTGATATTTATCTGAAATATTGTGATATTGCCTAACATAGATCTGTTCTTTAATATATATCATATCCTGGTTTATTCCTTATAGATGTTGTTTATTCTTGTGTACTGATTACCAGTTTATAGTTTCCGGCGATATGAAATGGCCATGTGGCATTAATCTGAAAGTGGAAGATTTGTGTGGTTTTAACAGAAAACAAATATCATTGTTAACAGGCAAACTGCAGATTACTTTACATAAAAACCTGTTAACATGCCACTATTATACTGAGAATTACACACGCACCTTCCCCAACCCCCCTCCATTTGATGCTCAGCGCACACAACCAAGTGAGTGAACAAAGATATCATTTAAAACAAAGAACCAAAACATTCATGTATTTTGTGCTTTTGCAGTACATCAAAAACATTGTTATTGGCTTCATCAAACTAAGCATGATAAAATGACAAGTCTTGCAAAATATTATATGTTCTCAAGAGTAATATTTCCATAACAATGTTATGTTGTAAAAACTTGTATCATTGACCCTTGAATATTAAAACATCAACACTGTAATGGTATATGGTCACTAGCATGCAGCAGGTCCAGAACATCAGTCTGATGTGCATTGACAGTGATTTTTTCACATTTGATTGCTTCCACTCAACTGTGGACCACTTCCAAATTACAGGACATGTTGTTGGTGGGTTGTATGAAAATGCTTTCACTTCCTGGTAGTGTTGATCTTGTCACCGTTCTGTTTCGACAACATGTTGTCCACTTTCAGTTTTTATTGCAAATTATCTTTTTTACTGTCAGTTTGATGAATGAATCTGAACAGAATCTCCACATCATTCTGCATGCAGATATCTAGGGCATGGTAATGATACATATTGATGAATAAATTGTTGATTATGCATTGTCTTGTTTATTTGTTGTAGGCGGAAACCTACCATGAAGAAGAACTAATAAGAAATAGATAAGATAATTTATTCACAAATACAGACATATTACACAATATTTACACTAAATTCACAAATATATTTACATGTAACCACAGTAACTCTGCATGATTCAAGCTTTTCACATTCATTAATCAGAAAAGTAAACACCTCCCTGACCAGAGACATACCACAAGGTTCTGTAGCTGACTTGCATACTGGTTATTCATGGGTAGAACACTTTCAACATGGCTGCAGTGTTAAATCCAAATATTCTGTTAATGAATGTTTCAAAATGTTGGCTTCATAAACCACACCCGTAGATTGTGTTAAACTACTTGATGCCAGACCCTGCCCTGATATGTCTGGAATACTGCTAAAAGCAGAAACACATACAGTTACACCAATGTACACATACATGAGGGCCATGTCCAAGTTGAAAATCAAACCTACAATGGTGTCAACATTTCATAAAACATGCTGGCATCATCCAACAAGTTTCAGTTGCCAAGGTAACCTACCCCAGTATATACTAAAAATTGAGACTTGCCATAAAAGGAAACATGATCTTTAACAAGTAAAATTATTCAGAGTGAGTATGTCTTCATGGTACAGGTGCTTTTAGCACCATTATGGTACCATCATGGCAGGGGACAGCTGAAATGAGCTTCACACTTTATCCCGTGAGGAGAATCGCACCTGGGTCATCAGCTACCCCATCAGCCCAAAACGTGCTTTGCTAACAGCTGAAGATGCAGATGGGTTGGTAGTACATAAACATTACTGCACAACTACCCTGTGTTGCCTCCAGTATCCTGACTCGGTGACGTGGCCATGCTAACTGCCTTACTGGTATGTTGCAACTCTCTTACAAAGCCTACCTAACGTCCGAAGAGAGTTTTCAGTAATACATGGGGTTAAATGTGACCCAGTGACCCTTTGGTTGATTCCTTGCCTTGTCAGAGGAAGTGAACAAAGACTTGAAGGCTTTGCTGGCAGCGGGATCTTCTTGGATGCTTTTGGCTTTGGCTGTTTTCTCCTCCACTTTCCCATTGGTTATTTTGGTCCTGGAATCCTTCAGCCCATTGGTCAACTTGGGTGCTCCACTTTCAACCTTGGTTGGTTCAACAATTCTCACCCTCTTGCTGGAACTTGCTTCACCTGTCAACAACAATCCAACTAACAAATTAAGAGTATAAAAAACAACAACATGGGAAATAATTACTCCTAAATACTTGGATGTCACATCAGTTTATAAGTCTTTGAAAGAATGGACTGACTGTCAATACTGATTTAGAATCATTATCAATCAATAATGGGTTTAAAACAAGCAACAGCAGCTCCTGCCAACATAATGAATCGTAAGTCTGCAGAGCTTCTCTATGTTTTCAAAAATTCTCAATTTGACACAGTATCACATGACTAGCTGATGGATAGGACTTCACAAAACATACCTTCAGCAGTCTGGCTCGTCTCGACTTTGTGTTTCTCTGCCTTTTTAGCTTTCTTGAAAAAAAGAAAGAAATACATTTCATTCCCTCAATGCATATTCTTCCGTCTCTGATCATTTTAGATACATACAATGAACTGACATCACATGAATCTATACTGTAGCCATAATACTATACTGTAGCCAGTGTTTTGGTTGCATCATTTGTTGAGGGTTCAGTTTAAACTGACAAAATAACTCGTAAACAGAGGATTATGCCCACCTTCTCCATCTTGGCTTTGAGTCTCCGTGCCTCCATATTTGTCTTCATCTCGTCATAGTCCTCCTCTGTTCCATTTATCACCACAATGTCTGCAGCAGTAAATGGCTTCCCACACTAAAGGAGACAGAAATGGAGTTTGTAATGTGTGAGGTAGGATATCAACAATTTGCAGAGTATTAGTATTACACCAAGAGTCAGTTATAAATGAAAATGACGCATCTTAACCACTGCTTTGAAATGTAGTGGATCCTGGCAAGGCAAAGAAAGTGATGTAGGGGAGATAATCTCACCCTTGTGTTGTTATGATAGCACATTAATCTTATCATAATATCAGTGAAGATGACAGCTGTGGGTGTCAAGGTGTTTTAGGAATGATAGTTCAGGGATGATTCTTTGTGAGTTATGAAATCAACCATAATAAATAGCAAAATGCAGTATTGAGTTTCATTGTCTATCATTAGGTAAGGGAGGTAACACTGCATGATGAGCTGTGATGACAAGTCACTGGGACCGAAGTCACCAAACAGTCCTGACACTGACATGATTCAGGGATCTTCAGTACCGTATATGACCGACTATAAGTCGGAAATTTGATACCAGAAAATGTAGGTAAAAAATCAGACCCGACTTATACTTGAGTTCATTAATCTACCCAAAATATTCCCGAGGTCAGGTGTGTGAATCTGCCAGCCCTGCGAACTCAACTGGCAATGTTGACACCGGAAGCAGGAAGCATATACGTACTGACAACATTTCCAAAGGTTCTACAATAAAGGGTATTCTGAGCTGGAAGAGACTTTCAGATGAACACAATCAATAGCTACCACTTGCTTCGTATAGGTGTCAGTATTTGTACCATGTAAAGAAATGTTGCATCAACCAAATAATTTGCAATCAATATGTCAACCCTGTCTTTAATATCTTCTGTGAATTGGACAGATTTCTGGAATCGGATAATGAATACTGTTAATGAAAACAAACATTGTGACACTTTGAACTGTAATAGAGCAATATCCCTGGACGAGACAGATTCTGCTACCTTGTGGCAGACATCGGTCTTCACTTCCTTCAGAGCCCGCTCAGACACAACACATCCACAGTTCCAGGAGAAACAGAATCTGGAGAAGCAAAATAAAGAGTACATTATCATCTAAATATTCATGAGTGAGTGAATCAGGGTTTACACCACTTTTAGCAATATTTGAGCAATATCATGGCATGGGACATCATACATTGTACCCATGATACATTGTACCCATGATACATTGTACCCATGATGGAAGTCGAACCTGGGTCTTCAGCATGACAAATGAACAGTTTAACCACAACATACCCCACAGCCTCAGTTATGATGTGAGTTGTATCACAATGTGGTAGAAGAAAAACACCAGTGATCATGTGAACATTCCATGACTTTCATAACTTTTAAAAACAGTGAATCAAAATTGGTTCTGAACAAACATAAAATCATATGCACTGTACACATTATATCTGATCATGACATTGAAGCAAATGATTATTTGACTCCAGAAAAAAAAATCTAAATGCCAAAGTCATGTAAACTGCATTAAGGGAAGAACATGATAAGACTTCAATTTACCACCAAGATCTGATGAAAATAATACTTAAATATTGAAGAGAGTCTCCAAACATTTATAAAACAGGCAGAATATGATGAGATTTCCCTGGAGCCACATTGTGCAGTAACCCCACATGCAAAATATAGTACGGCAATCTGGCCGAGTCTGCATAATGTTTAAGTACGTACTTGTATTTTCCATTCATCTCTAGACCTACAACTGGACAGATGTAGCCAGACTTCTGCATGTCAATATAGCTGTCCCCCTTCTCTGCCAGCCTGCCCTCGTAGGCCCGGTTGACAGTCAGCTCCAACTTCTTCAAGTCCTGGCAACACAGAACACACAGGAAATCTTGAAGTATCCCCCGCTCACAGTGAACCTCATGTAGGATTCTGTATTCTAAATCAAATGTTTTTTTGCAAAACTGACAGAATGGAACAATGTCAACGATCCTCTTATAACCAGAGCATCGAAAGCTTGGATCTGAAAATCTTTATCATGTTTATGTCTATTAAATGGTAATAGCACATTGCACAGCAAAAATAATTAGCATGATGTTCAACACTGTGTTTGTGACTAGAGGTTATAGTTTTAGGTAGATAACTAGTTAGTGGAGGTTACAAGAAATGTAAACACTGTCAGTAGGGATTTTAAGTAAGTACTTTGTAAATAATGGCAAATTATCAAATATTTGGTACATGTATCTGGGAGATATGGTTAGATTTCAGAATGTAACAGAGAATACAGATATAGAGTCAACATCTTAAACAAACATACCATGTTGTAACTTGCTGTGTTACAAGTTTCAGTATACATACATATTGCTCAATACATGACATACAATAAATGCATTCAGGTGGTAAAATCAATCAAAATAAATCCCCAGGACCCAGTGTTTGTCTCTTAACAACAACCCAAATGAGGATTGAGTGGTTAATTGTTCATGCTATTGACCATGTTGACCACTGTTTTGCCTGTCAATGACAGGCTGTCTTTACACAACTTGAATATTCCTGACATGATTCACTGTCAGTCCAAATAATGTTATGAATTACCTCCCCTTGACCACATCCTTAATCATCCTGCTGTCATATTCAGGTTTTTTATCTCTTGAAAATAAGAATAACTTATGCATGGTTAAAAGAGGAAGAATTCATAACAGGAACATAGCCACATAAGTACCTTGAGAGCTCGAAGATGGTCAAAGTTTCGTGCAGATTCAAATTTACTTCTGTCCAGCAGAAACTCAAGGGCTGATTCTCTGTTGTACAACCTGAAACACAGAAATTGCATCTTCACTCATCCACTTTTGGACCTGATGATAGACTAGAAACAAACAGGACAGAAGACTGCCAACCTTGCTAGCTCTGGATTATAGCACATAGGTCACATGATACACGTTCTGATACACATATTTAAGTCAAATCGTGCCAACACTTTCTGACTATAAATATTCTAATGCAGGTTGATAAGGAAACGCCTGTTGTAGAAAAACATTCATTGCAGCTATTATTACTAGTAATAGTAGTGAACTTAATGTAGTAATTACAGTACATTCTTTAATATTCAACTGGCAAAAATGCTCGAAGGGTCATTGAGAGAGTATTGTCTTGTATCGATACAGAAAAACACAACCTGTATCATATCATCACATGAAATGTCACCATGCACAAGAGCACTGTTGTATTGTTCCAAAACATTAAGAGAACAAGCAGAGGACATTAGACCAATAAGGATGAAAGCAGATTCACTATGAAAGTGAACGTAAAGAAACGTTTTCCGTAATAATAATAATAATAATAAAACTTAATGATTTCATTTCACTGTCCCATGTTGCTGTGCATTCTACAACTATGTTAAATGCACTAATTATCTTTATCATGAGTCATATAGAAAAAATCACTTACTGTAGTAACATTTTGAAAAATCAAATAATTAAAATATTATTAAAAAATCTGACACTAACTGTTTAAAAACATTAACGATATAAAATATCTCCAGTCTTTATGACCAAATGATGGCCATTTTCCCACTGCATTTCACCAGCACTCTGGTTACTTACTTTCCCAGTTCACAAGCCATGATAGGTTCCACCAGGCGCTCCTGGCTCAGAGCACAATGCTTCCATTTGGCCACTAAATCAGCTGTCTTGTCTTTCTATGAAACAGACAAAATGTCATTTCAGTACATCTGGTTCATGTTACACAACTGAATATGCCTGATGCAAATTTGTTAATTTGACTGTCTTCATTGTTGCCAAACTATAGTCACAGTCATCATGGTCTTGACAGCTGTGTCTTTTAATATGTTTAATATGCTGTCTAACACTTAACATGAAATGCAAAAGCATCATACGGCAATTTGTGATTGTTATGGTTAACTATAACTCTCTTCAACATCAATTACTAATGACTATTGATGCAATACAATATGTGCAGAGCCTGCTGGCTGAAACCTCTAGTCTATATCTGACCACTAAGCCAATAGAATTCAAAGTATTAGCACTTAAATTGGCTGGGTATGATATCAGGTTTGGGCTTGAAGGCACAAATTATTTTGATGCTTATAATGAAATATTTCTATGAACATAAGAATACAATTATACCTTGAACAAGGGTGAGTATAAAAATTAGATTTAACTTGCATTTTTCAAACTGTGTGTTCCAGTTCTCAGGAAACCAAAGTCTGAATATGTACCATCCATTTACCGTACAGATGCCTTCTCCTGACCGTATTTGTTCCAATTCATAACATTTTCAATTTTTATTCCCATCTTGCCTTTATTAACATCTTTCTTATTACCTTTGTTTGATAGTACATTGTGGGTGTGTAAAGTTATGTGCATCAATGAAACAATCACATGATTTATGTGAAAGAATGTTCAACCCCCTTGTTAAAAGAGACAGGGAATACACACCCAACCTCACAACTAACAATAAGGACCTTAATTAAGTGCCTGTCCATAATGATTATAATACTGTGCGTAGTCGGAATGGGATCCAAGAGCTAAGGATCAGAGATTATCTACCTAAACCTTGACATGCCAAAGCAATTAGCGCTATAGTAAGCTGGGCTCTGTAAACTGCTCTGTCATGATTAAAGCAGTGCTGTTTGTGTGGTGTGTTTGTAGCTAAATAAATTGATTTTATTCACAGTCAACACACCAAATACGCAGCAAATCATGGACATTACAAAAAAGTGTATGTCTAGCCGTAGCCGAGAGCCGCGGACCGCATCGTGGTTCTCGGCTAGTCTAGTCGGTGTATGACAGTTTCATAAAAGGTGACCCAAAGGGTTAGGGTTTAAGGCTAGGGTATGCCACCCTTTAGGGTTAGGGTTTAGGGTTAGGCACCCTTTACGATCCTTAGGGTTAGGCACCCTTTACGATCCTTAGGGTTAGGGAACCCCAGCAGCGCTAATTAATCTGAAAAAGTGCGCCCGGTAAAGTGCAGTACTCCCAAAGTGACAACCATCGATAATGTTAAGGCTGATCAAATTGGCTGAAGTATCATTCATTTACAGTTATATTCTGAATGGACAATCACAATTTAAACCAACTTGTTCGGGCTTTTTCTTCGTTCTGACCAACTCATCGCGCTTCGGGATAGTTCCTCCATCGCAACCCATCCTGAAATTAATCAAGACGTACAAACTTCGCTTTCAAATACAAAATGAATGACGATGTTGTTGTCGTATTCTCGATTTCTGGAGGACCGGAAACGGAAGTGGAATTTACTGTGTCGCACAGATAATACCGATTTAAAATAATATTTGCTATGCAAGTATGTTCATTGTACAAGACTATCTAAATTTTGTGACCATAAATGAAAAGAAATGATTTTAATTTCGGCTCACCTTGATGAAAATGTCCACCGCCGGCATTCGTGTTATTCCGGGACATCCGTCATCACTCGCCACGTTCCGTAACACGGAATATGTGCCGTGTGCTCGGAGCCAGCACTGACTGACTGAGACGCGCCAGTGACCGGGAATCTGGGGACGGTTGGGTTACCTAGACTGGCGGCAAGTCTCCGCCGCTGTTTCTTTTCTTCCCAGGCTGTGGCGAGATGTAACTCAACCCGCCCTTATCTCACTAGTCTGTCATACAGACCCTGAAGCAAATATATCCAAGAAAGCCCACGCAAGTCTATAAATGTGGCAAGTCCAGAAGAAAGTCTCAGGGCTACTTTTCATTATATTTTATGTTTTTACTATGAACTTTTCTTTCTGTAAAATATGTTCATTTCAGCGACTTGTTATTAGTCTATTATCTCACCAGCTGTCTTCAGAAATCTCACGCCGACGTCTTCTTGCATGGAAAGAAATATTTGTGTGTTCTTCACTTCTAGATAGGATGTACATTTAGTGTTTGTCAAAGACTTGCATATGTCTCTTAGGTAACAATTAATAGTTTAATTGATAATTTCAAGAAAATATCAATAAAATGAACACATTACCCCTCTAAGGACTGGCGTCCTTAAAGGCCTGTGAAATCCGGATTTGCACTGGGACACCCATGTTGATATTATTGGCCATATACCAAGTATGCCTTTTGTCCAAATGCACCCTTGTCACGGTATGGCTGTTGCCTCTGTGTATCGTGTACTAGAGTAATGTAAACTACTTAATTGTAATATAGACCTTCAAACCGCAGGTTTTATACTTCTCTGGAATAGGCCCATATACAGCCTCCAAAGAATTCCAGCCAACAAACCTGATCTTGTCTTTTTCCCTGGTAGAAGTCCCATTCGCTGTCTGGGCTGTGTGTAGATGGGCAAGGGCCCTGAGCTGATGATGAGCCTTACCAGCCTGACTGTGCCAGGATCACCCGAACCCTCTCTGTTGCATTTTCATCTAATCTGTAAAACATAATTCATTTATATAGCGCCTTGTATCCATCTGACGGGGCGGTGGGGTAGCCTAGTGGTTCAAGCGTTAGCTCGTCACACCGAAGACCCGGGTTCGATTCCCATTTCTGGTGTCCCCCGCCGTGATATTGCTGGAATATTGCTAAAAGCGGCGTGAAACTAAACTCAGTCAGTCAGTCAGTGTATCCATCTGACTAGTTGCCCACTGGACGCTGTAATCAGAATCTGATTACTATTACCCAGGATAACCCAAGCTGCATGTGAGGCACTAGAATGTTAGTAGTCACATGATATATCTTACCGGGTACCCATTTTCTGCTGGGTGAACAGAGGCAATTTTGAACAAACTCACTTGCCTAAGATGAAACCACATGCATCACATGTGCTTCGTTGTGGGGCAAGACATAAGTCCTAGAAACTCTCAGGAGTCAAGCTGCCAAACACGGTCACCCATCCAAAGGATTCGTGACCGGAGCTCTACGCACAGGACCACACACCACCACAATGACTGTAGGTTGAGCATGGCGTTAATGCACAGTTACACGTGGACAGTCTCGTCGTGCAAGCGAGCTTGTCGTTGACGTTGTGTTAACCAAGTCTAACTCCGAGCCAATTTGCCACAGGTAGAGGACCACGAAGTGACTGTGAGTCAGATACGGGTAGGACGTACAAGTCCATTTAATTAGATAGTGGAGATGCAGTATCAGGACAGAACAAAGATGTATGGCTGCCGGCCACCCATGAATTGTTTCAGGGTGTGTAACAGTGGAATTAACGTTCCCACCCCATAACCATTTTTGTGTAATTTGTATTTCCACACACTAGCCCTGTTATACTCATAAGAGAATTAATTCGTTAGCTGTTCCTCGCCATGACAAGTGATGTTTCAGTCGATACATGCAATAAATGTCATAAGACAGTTCATAGGGATACACACGATCCCAACTAGTTTGGATTATATATTCGTAATGTTTGGTTGGGGTAAAATGTCTATAATTATCACAAAGGGTCAGTAATTATCATGACGTATGATTTCGGCAGGCGTGTTGCGACCGTCGTAACCCAGGGTTGTTTGGTGGGGTTGTGAGCAGTCGTAACCCAGGGTTGTTTGGTGGGGTTGTGAGCAGTCGAAAGCCTTCGTCTTGGACGTCTTGGCTGCATTTCAAGATTGGACTACTTACAATTACAAACATAAAGTCCCATGCAATTTCCCCTTTGACTTATACCAAATGTCCCCCTGACTATCCTCTCAGGTAAACAAATGGCTTTTCATTGAATGGGCTTGTTCCGTGTCCCACCCGTCGGGCGGGATGAGCTGGCCTTTTGTCGAGCACCCCACCCCGTTAAATGACTGCTTGTTAGTAATTCATTCCTGAAAGGTTGGTGGGTGCAGTCGTCCCAGACATATATTTAGTGTTATTGAGGATAGTATCTGTTAACCCGTACGTCAGAGATAAGGACAATGTGTTTTTTCCTTGAGAAATATTTGTTATGATTTTGTTATGGCCTTATGATGTTAACAAGTTTTGAAAAATCATGCACATAAAATTATTGAACCTCGAAGTACAGACACACTGTATGGTTGTATATTGTAGCTGTCCTTTTCATTACCGTTCCACTTCAGGAACAAGAAAAACGACGCAAACATAACCCAGCAATCCAAAGGTCATATGTCTGACCTTCACAAAAGATATATACTTTCATCTCGCATACTTAGAGATGATAATTAGGAGGCTGAAAAATAGTCCCTAATGTCAGTTCTCACAAGGGCGTTAGAAAGGAGTTTATAACCTAGAACTTGTGTAGGCATAATTAAGAAACATCGTTGATTCCAAGCTTCAGCACCCAGGTATGAGAGACAAGACGCTGAATGTTTACCACGGATAGAGTGAGTGAGTTTAGTTTTACGCCGCACTCAGCAATATTCCAGCTGTATGGTGGCGGTCTGTAAATAATCGAGTCTGGACCAGACAATCCGTGGATCAACAGCATGATGATCGATCTGAGCAATGGGGTGACGATGACATGTGTCAACTCAGTCAGTGAGCCTGACCACCCGATCCCGTTAGTCGCCTCTTACGACAACCCTGGGTTACTGAAGATCAATATTCTAACCCGGACCTTTACGGGTAGGTAAGGATAGATAGTCCGCACATATACAAATTATGATTGAAAGATTAAGGGAAATGACTGGAGAATAATGTGGGATTTGCAAATGTGATCATTTATAAATTCACCTATGCCAATTGAGCAAATATAACATATCTGTGACTGCAAATGCCGTCCATTTGGTAAACTGATATCAGCGTCAAGTGTTGGTTATTTCATTCGGATATAATCCACTGATGGGTTGGTTATGGCCGGGAAAGCGAAATCTGGACTAAACCTCCTCAATTTAGGTGTCGCTTTCGCGGGAACGGTCAAGCTACAGTGAACACTAGTACTGAAGTTAGCGTTCCCGGGACTCTCAATACACAAGAAAGAAAAAGAAATGTGAGTCGTCGTCTGATACCGTAGTCATGGTAGGGATTTAATAAATACAGTACAACCAGAAATTATTGCGAATTTAAAGATTGTAAAATTTATTTTTTTTCACTTAATACTCACGTATTAATTGTGAATATTAGCAGAACATAACTCCAGATTCAAAGACAGGTTAACAATGGGCAGCAATGTCAAGTCACCATGGGCAGCAATGCAGGCTTCAATGCGGCGGGGCATACTACTGATCAAAGAAGTTAGAAAGTCGTGGTCCATGCTGTCCCAATACCGGACCACCTCTTCTTTTATTTCAGCAATATTTGTCGGACTTTTCTTATTGACACTTTCCTTCATAAGTCCCGAAACATTTTCTATTGGATTTAGGTCAGGGCTATAGCTTGGTCAATCTTATCATGTCATATTTTGGGTCCGAAACCAAGCCTGTGAATGCTTTGAACGATGTTTTGGGTCGTTGTCCTGCTGGAAAATCCAAAAATTTCCATAGAACACGTGAGCAGGTGGAAGTAAATGTCCCTCGAGAATAACTGTGTACCGCTCACTGTTCACCCCTTTCAAATACACAGAGGGGCGTTGCCCCTAACACAGATATGCCACCCCACACGTTAAATTTCGGACTGTACTTTGGGCGCTGATACAAAGGTTTTTCAGTTTGTTTGGTCCAGAATTTCAGTGTATTAGGAAACAGCCACACAGAACTTTCATCTGAGAAAATCACATTGTCCCAGTTAAAATCTCTATGTTGTAAGTACCAGTTCAACCTTCACTCCCTTTTGTTCAGGTTTCATGATCGGTGATGGAATTCCTCGACTTTTCTGCCAACCCATTGCATGCAGCTCAGTTCTAATTGTCTCTTTACAAACAACCACAGTTCATCTATCAGTCATATCCAGCCTTAAGTTTTCTAAACTCCTTCGTTTGTTTTTAGAAACAAGAATACAAAGCCGCCTCCTATCATCGACAGTCAGTTTTCTGGGCCTACCTGCGCCTCCCTGGTGCTCAATGCCATATCCATTTGCAATATTTTTCAAAACACGATAAACAGTGGACAAAGGGATGCCTGTTTTACTTAAAATCACTTTAGCTGATCTGATGTCGTTGTTATAATACTCTAAAATCAACTTCCTCTTTTCTAAATCATCCATATTGAGGATCACTGAAAATGTCGTCTGCCAGCAAGTAAACAAAGGGGGATAACTCTTCACAAACTAATGAAAAAGGATTAACGGAGTTGTCTCTCTTGAATGAAACCAAGCACTTGATAGCTGGTCCAGGTTGTTTATACTAAAAATCCAATTAAACATATTCCTAAAATTCTCAATAATTTCTGGACATACTATAAATTACAGTAAATGTTTGAGCCACAGACTGTTCACCGATAAGTCACATTGATGGAGTGAGTGAGTGAGTGAGTTTCACATTGATGGATCATGTGGAGGTGGATCACTGAAGGTGGATCAGGTCAGCGACGTGATCAGTGTAGTCCAGGACAGCAAACACATGACGAACTAGGAACATGTGGCCTTTATACTCAGCATGCAGTGTGTAGACCGGGGAGCTGACGAGAAGGTGCCGTCGCCAAACAATGTGTCTGCTGTACACAGGCGCT